CTTTCGGATTCTGTATCCCTCTCTCGCTCTGCTCCTTCCCTGCTCATTCTCTGTCTCTCTCACTCTCTGAAGGATAAATAAACATTAAAAAATTAAAAAAAAAACAAACACTTTGAGATGTCAGTTAGTACCCATGAGGAAGGCTGTTATCATAAAAATAAAAAGTAACTAATAAAAAATATTGGTTAAGATGTGAAGAAATTGGAGCCCCTTTGAGTATAAAATTGTGCAGCCTCATTGGAAATAAATGTCTTATTAAAAAAAACTAAACAGAATAACCATATGATCCAGCAATTCTGCTTCTGAGTATACACTCAAGTGAAAGCAGGGATTTGAGTAGATATTTGTATGCCCGTGTTTGCGGCAGCATTATTTCACGATAGCCAGAAAGAAACACACAAATGTCCTTCGACAAATGGATAAAAAAAATGTGGCATATACATACAATATAACATTATATAGCTTTCAAAAGGAAGGAAATTTTAACACATGCTTCAACATAAACTTTGAAGGTGTTACGCTAAGTTTCCCAGTCACAAAAGGACAAATACACAATTCCTCTTTTTTTTTTCTTAATGTTAATTTATTCTGAGAGAGAGAGAGAGAACTCAAGCAGGAGAGGGGTAGAGAGAAAGGGAGAGAGAATCCCACGCGGGCTCAATGCTGCCAGCACAGAGCCCTGTGGCTCTGGGCTCCATTGCACAAGCAGTGAGTGAGATTATGACCTGAGCTGAAATCGAGGTGCCCCATGATTCCTTTTTTAAAAAGTTTCTAGAGTAATCAGACTTATAGAGATAGAAAGTAGAATGGTGATAGCCAGGGACTGGGGAAAGGGAGAGTGTGGGGAGTTCTTGTTTAATGGATACAGAATTTTACTTGGGGGAAGATGAAAAAGTTCTGGAGATAGGTAGTGATGGTCGCATAACATTGTGAATAGACTTACTCCTCTAGGCTGAACAATTGATAATGGTAGATTTTATGTTCTGAATATTTTACCACAATTAAGTTAAAAAGAAGACTACAATTTAAAAAAGGGCTAAAGATTTAAATAGACATTTCACAAAAGAGTATATATTCTTTTGGGCTAATAAAGCACAAGAAAAGATTCTTAAGATCATTAGTTATTCAGGAATGGGATACCACTATACATATGACCACTAGACAGTATAGGGTGTTGGCAAGGATGTAGAGAAACTGAGGGCCTAATATATTGCTGGTGGAATTGTAAAGCAGTGTAGCCATTTTTGAAAAAACTGGCAGTTCTAAAGATGTTAATCATAAAATTAGGATATAACCTGGCATTCTAGGTAACTACACAAGAGAATTATGTTCACGCAAAGACTTGAATGCTGATGTTCCTACTAGCATTTTTCGTAATAGTGGGAAACAACCAAATATTCATTAACTAGTGATTGGTAAAACAAAACATTGTGCATACATCCAGGGAAAATACTGTTCAGCATTAAATGGAATGAAGTACTGATACATTCTACAGTATAGGTGCACCATATATATATATATATTAATATTATGCTAAGTGAGAGAAGCTAGACACAAAAGACCATAAGTTGTATGATACACAATTCCTAGAAAAGGCAATCTCTGGAGAATGGAAGTAATCAGTAGTCATTGGGAGTAGGAGTGTGGAGATTGGTGGCAGATGGACATGAGGGAGCTTTTTGCAGGTAATGGAAATGTTTTAAACTGTCTTGTGATGATTACACAACTGAATTAATTTACTAAAAATTATTGAACTTATGGGGTGCCTGGGTGGCTCAGTCGATTAAATGTCCGACTTCAGCTCAGGTCATGATCTCATGGTTTGTGGGCTTGAGCCCCGCGTTGGGCTCTGTGCTGACAGCTAGCTCAGAGCCTGGAGCCTGCTTCGGATTCTGTATCTCCCTCTCTCTCTGACCCTCCCCTGCTCACACTGCCTCTCTCTCTCTCTCTCTCTCTCTTTCTCTCTCAGAAATAAATAAAACATTAAAAAAACTAAAATAAAAATTATTGAACTTAAAAGTTAGATGGGGGGCCCGGATGGCTCAGTTGGTTGAGTGTCTGACTTTGGCTCAGGTCATGATCTCATGGTTTGTGAGTTCCAGCCCCACCTTGGGCTCTGTGTGGACAGTTCAGAGCCTGGAGCCTGCTTCAGATTCTGTGTGTGTGTGTGTGTGTGTGTGTGTGTGTGTCTCTCCCTCTGCCCCTTACCTGCTCACTCTCTGTGTCTCTCTTGTGCTCTCAAAAATAAATAAAACTTTATTAATTTAAATTTTTTTTTTTAATTTCTGAGAGAGAGAGAGAGAGAGACAGCCTAAACAGGGGAGAGTCAGAGAGAGAAGGAGACACAGAATTTGAAACAGGCTCCAGGCTCAGCTAGCTGTCAGCACAGAGCCCGATGCGGGGTTCAAACCCACAAACTGTAAGATCATGACCTGAGCCAAAGTCGGACACTTAACCAACTGAGTCACCCAGGTGCCCCAATAAAACATTTAAAAAATGTTTTTTAAAGTGTGATGGAGGGGTAGTAGATGGTATGGCTGAGTGTATCTGAGAAAGTCAGAGAAAACATTACTCAGAAAGCATTTGCTTGAGCGGAGAATTAAAAACAGGGTTGGAAAAAGCAGATAGCACATACAGAGGTCACTGTGAGCCAGTGTGAAAGTGCATGATTTCAGGGAATTATATGAGGTATGTTCAGTTGCAGCATGTAATTTGAGGCTGGGAATGTCAGAAGATAAAGTTAGGAATAAATTTAAAGTAAAATGTAGCCTACTTATAAAGTGATGGATTCTAAGCTGTTGGTAATAACCTGGAAGGAATATCAGACGATTATTGTAGACCTACTCTTGGTATGCTTTTTGTATTCACAAAGTTGAACACTGTGCTGAAAAATTATCAGAAGGAAGAATATTTAAAACTGAAATTAAATGTTTTGCTTATCTTGAACAAAATCCTGGTACTTCTAGGGTATTGCATTTTGTTTATTTTTCAAGACCCAGTTAATGTTAGCTATTTTTGCCCTATCTTATCTGATAAAGCCTCTTCACCCTTACCTCTTCCAGACTATTGTAGTCTCTTCTGTCTCTCTCCCTCTCCCTGTGTTACAGCACTTCTGGTGTGGTACCATAATGCTTTGTTAGGAAACTCTTAAGATCCTTGACAGCAGAAAGTAACTATGTTTTCCTTAAGTTTATAATTACAGTATTTGGTATTATACTTAGCACACAATGGGTGTTCATTGGTAAATTTGCTTACCAGAACTTTTGAAGAAGGGCCAGTGAGGCATAGATAAATGGGTTGAGGGAATTGTACATGAAAGTAGGCTACAAAAAGAAATATTGGAAGGAGACAAGGTGAAATTTTATAAACTCTTGAAAGGATTTGCCTTTGGGTTGAGGTAGATAGTTCCCTATGCGAATTTTTGAATTCTACTTTTCATTGATTGTGTCTTTTCTGTCTTAGGATTTTAGAGCTGGAAAAGGCCTTGGGAGATCTAGTGTTCTCTTTTTACTTACGTTGTGACCTTTAGCAAATTACTTAAACCTTTTCTAGTCTAAGTTTTCTTATTTGTAAAATGAAGGACTCCTACATACCCCATTGTTATAAAGTTCGATTGAAATAGTATTTAGAAATTCTTAGTCTTCAGGGCGCCTGGATGGCTCAGTCGGTTACGCGTCCGACTTCGGATCAGGTCATGATCTCATGGTTTGTGGGTTCGAGCCCTGTGTCGGGCTCTGTGCTGACAGCTAGTTCAGAGCCTGGAGCCTGCTTTGGATTCTGTATCTACCTCTCTCTCTGACCCTTCCCTGCTCACGCTGCCTCTCTCTCTCTCTCTCTCTCTCTCTCTCTCTCTCTCTCTCTCAGAAATAAATAAAACATTAAAAAATTAAAAAAAAAAAGAAATTCTTAGTCTTCAGTTCAGTAGGTAGTTGGACATGACAAACTAAATGGATTATGTAGTTTACTGTAAATGTGTGACTAAATTTGGGCTAGGATCTGATATCTTGAACTTTGATCCAGTGTTTCCTCATTATCTCATAGTTGGGTCTTCTTTCCTTACTAGTAACCTTTTCCCATTTGCAGTTTCCAGTTTGATCTGGGCTGGGAAAAAAATTACAGGCTTTACTCATTTGGTCCATGCTAATTAAGCATTAGTACGTACCAGTCACTGTGGTACATACAGGAAGTCAGAGGAGTAAGAAATGGTCTCTGTTCTTAGGGAGTTTGGTCTAGAAGTAGAATACAGACATTCTAGAAAAACATAAAAATTAAAATGTGTAGATTAATATGGATGATATGGAGGATTTGAACAGCCTTTCTTGCAAGGAGGACATCTGGGGCCAGAGCCTCTATACCTACCCGGTAAACAAAAGAGAGGTAGGTAATCACCAGTGGGAAGGAACTCTGAGGTATGTGAGAATGACTGGCTTAATATTGCTTGGGAGCCACCAATATTTTGTGTCAAAGGTGGTGTTATTGTGGAGCATTCTGGGAAGAAACTAAAGGTACGGTTTATTTGCAGTGAAACCAGGATTCTGGAGGATTCAAGGGAATAGACTTGGTATGAAAAGAGTTCAGGAAAGGAAGTCACTGGATAGGAAGTACACAGAAAGAACATCAGAGAAGGCAGTGCTGTTAGCATCCTTTCAGCTCTCTCATGTAGATTCTAGATAATGACTGTCCAGCTCTAATGCAAAAGTCCTTTGAGATTGTTGCCATCTAGCTATTATGATCAATTACCCTTTTTGCTGTTATTTGCTGATTCTCCCAGGTATAGTCCAATTTATTAATGACTTGGGCAACTGGTCATTCTCTCATTACTGTTTAGTCCATGAGATTGAATCTCTCAACAGCATAGCCTGGGACGAGGTTAACCGTAGCCCCACATGAATGAAAATAGAAAATGGTGCTGGAAGTTGAAGAAATTGTAGTTTGGCATAGAAGTAAGCTTTTAATTCTCTGTATATTTAATGTCTTTGTGTGTATGTGTATGTGTGTAGGTTAAGTGTATCTTTAGAATACAGTATGAAGAGGTCTTGTATATTCAAAGGCCTATTGAAGAAGACAGAAGAAAATTTTTCCAAGAATTGATTCTCAATCAGGCATCAATGGCTCCACCACGAAGGAAACACACTGGTAAAGTTTCTAAAGCCTTTAGGAAAATGGGGAAGAGGGAGGATGGGGAGTGAAGTTAAAAATGCTCCTTCTTGGAGTCACTTTTTTAAAAAGCCATTTCTTTGTGGAAACAAAGTCAGTTTTTTAGATTCTCCTTACCTTTAGATGGACATACATGGAAGTTGTCATTGTGTTTACCTGACTTGAGGAGATTGGGAAGTACAGCCTCATTGTTAAGGCCTTATTAACAGGTGACCATTAATGAATATTCTCCTTACCATTTCAATCCAGTTGCTCTGATAGATTTCACATTCTGAGGCTTAAAAAGGTGAAGAAAAAAAGTCTTTGGTTCTGCTCTGTTTTAGTCAGTTCAAGTACAGGGGACTTAAACTGTAAGAATGAAAACGCGTTGTGGGTCAGAGTAGGTGTGATGGGTCAAGAGCTGATCAGAATGTGTGCCTTTTCTGGCTTATTTATTTTTCAAGTATTTATTGAGCACCTGTTATGTTAGTTGTGTTAGGCACTTGGAAATCTAGCATGGCTTTGTTTTAAGCATTACAGTTTTCTTGGATTTGGGCCAATAGCATAATATTTCAAATTTCAGCCTCCTGGTCTAAGAAAGGAATGCATTCTGGGTCAATCAAAAAACTCTTTCTAATCTTAAAGATGTGTAAAAGATAAGGTCCCCTTTGTAATCTTTCAGCTCCTTCTAGAAAATAGCAATCCTGTTAGAAGTTTTTAAACATCTTTCCCTGTGTTCTTTTATGGTTCTCATAGCAGTTCTTGTAGGATATTAAATGCATTTCCACCCCTTCCAAGTCCTTGCTTTTCCACATTTGTTCTACTTCTGTTTTTTACTGATTATACTATCCAACACTTCAATTATTTTATTGTTCTTTAGCGACTCCTTTCCACATTTCCTCAGAGTTCTAAAAATGAGCACCTATCAAATGTCTGTAGTTGTGGGGCTCCCCCGACCCAGAAACCTTGGAAAATTAAATATGGAAGTTACACCTTCTGATTCTTGGTTGTTGATTCCTGTTACTCTAAATAACAGTATTTAAAGTATTTTATTATGAATATGATTCATTTTAATAAAGTATCTTATATGTTCTCAGATACATTTTAGTCTCAAAGATTTGAATTTTCTATGTTAAGGATTAACATAATTCTTTTTCTTTTTGAGTTGCTTTTATTTACTTTCATTTCTTTTTGTCTTAGGGACTGTTTAGAAATCAGTGAGAATCCATAGTATTTTAATTGTGAAGTTCATTGTGATACTGGGAAAAACTTTTAAGGAATTAGGGAATGATGTGTTTAGGAAAGTTAGTACTTTTTAGGAAGATTTTGTGTTTTAGGTAGATAATGAATACTGTAAAATTTACATATAACAGTGTAGACTGGATTTTCCATCTTATCCATGTCTTTGGGATTCTTTTTTTTAGTTCCTAATATTTTTTTGCTCCCTACACAGGTATGTGCCATTCACTACCCTACTATGTTGTATTAAGAATGTGAGAGTAGGAAAGACTCCTCTAAAATCAAAGTTCTTTTGGGAGTGTGAAGGATCAAAGAATTGTTACTTGCCCATTTCACTGTCATGCATATCAGGCAACCTCATTTTGAGAAGAAGGTTTTTAAGCAACATTGATTTTAAGCAAATTGGTATACAGTTCTTCACCTGAAGATATTTTTGTTCACTTGAAATATTTCTCATAAGTTATATGTAAATAATATTTCAAAATCATTTAAAATCATATCATTTTCCATTTATAGGAATCCTACTGTGAGCTATTTTATGGAGTAATTCTGTTCTCTAATGTACCATTGGTTTCTTTTCAAATTCTTACTTGCTAGATTTGCAAGTCGTTCACATAAATTTAGAACTCTTTTTTGAGAGAATGCCAGAAAAGTAATTGAGGTCCTGGCCCTGCCATGTTGGAATCTTAACATTTCCTTTTATTTCCTTTAGGTCTTTGTGCTATGGAAGTGCTTCCTCTAGCACTACCTTCTCCACCTCGTCAGTTATCAGAATCAGAAAAAAACCGGATGGAGGACCAGGAGGAAAATACTTTAAGAGAGCTGCGGTTGTTTCTCAGGGATGTAACCAAGAGGCTGGCCACGGATAAACGTTTTAACATCTTCAGCAAACCGGTGGATATTGAAGAGGTCTTGTTTCAGTAGTGTGCAAACAGTGAAGTTGAACTGGCTAAAAGAAAAAAATATTGACATCTTTTTTTGGAAGGAAAAAAAGCAAAGGCATGGATGAATATTACCCCTAGCCTGTAAAATTTTAATCCATGTGATAACTACCACTGTCATCAGCAAACATCTGGTGACTTTTGGATGAAATTAGTGACCAATTTGTATGTCCTCTTATTTAGTATTGATCTTTGTGATCTCTTACTCTTCAGTTTAAGAAGAGGATTAAAAGTTACTTCAGTGAAATGTCCATACTAGACTATTTTTATTCCAGGATAAATCTTGCTTTTAAAAGTATATTGGTGTTAACTAATCAATACCAATTAATTTTGGCATTTTCCAAATTATGTATAGTATAGTGAAAGAGGTGGCTAAGAAACCTGAAATCTCTCTTTTGGAAATGCCTGTAATGAAGATGCTGTTTGAAGTTAAGCATATCTTGTTCAGCTAAAGTTATTTTTTCTGCAAGGATTTTCTCTGCTCCCAGTGGAAAATTTCTCACTTTCAATGTGTATTGTTTTGTGTCCTTGTGGGAGCATGGTTTGTGGTCATAAGAAATTTTCCATTTGGAATCTACTATAATACCGTAGTTAAAATTTGTTTGTTGTTTTTTGGTTTTTTTATCCTGGGATAATATAGCGTGTGGATGATGCAGCCTTTACTGGCCTTCTTCTTATAGTTCAGACTCCATGTTTGAACAGCTTTGGTGTTTTTAGTTTTGAGTTTCTTCTTCATCTTTTTTTTAATTTGAATTTTGAAATGATTCATAGTTCAATGTTGTGTACTTCTTGTGAAATCTGTGCTTTTGGGCCCGAGCAGATTCCTTTGGAATCATTACTTCATCTATGACTGGGAAGAATGAACTAGTGATGTTTTTTCCCCTCTGAAAATAGCTATTTTTCCCTCTTTGGAGGAGGAGGGGGACTGTCTATATTTTATTTGTGTATTTATCCAAAATACATAGTTTTCGCCATTTGATCCTTTTAACAGCCTTACAGACTCATTATTATTCTTAAGTTGCAGCTGAGGAAACTGAGGTTCGCAGGCAAGTGACATAGCCAAGACTCAAAGGTTTTTTGAAATTCAAAGCCTGCATTCTTTCCATTATATCATAGCTACCTTAAATTTTCTACTGAAATGACAAGAATTGCTAATTTGCTTTCACAGTTAATACATAACATTTTATACTTGTGGAACTTTTTTCTCCCTCTCTACAGAGTGTTTTCAGATAAGTGAAAATTTTGAGCCCACTTTAAGGATTAGTTTTGATGTTTATTTTTATTTCAAATTGGATATGGGCTCTGACACTTAATTGATAGGGGCTTGACTGAAAGTCAGCCTCCTGCACTAAATCAGTTTTGCCTTTCCCCCAGAGAACTCTCTTTCTTTCTGACCAGAAGAGATGATCAGATTTCACATGTCACGTGTGATAAAGTAAAAAGTTTTATAAATGATGGTAAGGCAGTAGGAAGGGATAGAAAATCTTGGTCAGAAAGAACTTTTATTCAAGGGTTATGTTTCTTATTTTCTCTTTTATTCTTTCTTACCTTCATTCTGCTACTGTTTTTTTGCTCTTGAAGTTGCAAAGATAGAGGTCTCTGTGAAATATTTGGGGAAAACAAGATAACATTTAAATAACCTAAAACATAAAAATTTATATTCAAATAATGAATTTGAAATGTTTAAAGACTATGAAATTCCAAAGCAGACTTCCAGAGAAAGCAAAAGTTTAGAATATAAATGTAGGATTTAAAATTAAATATTAGAAAGAAAATTTTATAATCTCTAGGTAGTATAAATTTTTATAGTGCTTTGTAGTAAATAGACATTTTCTTTTTTTTTAATTTTTTAATGTTTTTATTTATTTCTGAGAGAGAGAGAGAGTGAGAGCGAGCAGAGGAGTGTCAGAGAGAGAGGGAGACACAAAATGTGAAGCAGGCTCCAGGCTCTCAGCTAGCTGTCAACACAGAGCCCGATGCGGGGCTCGAACCCACGAACCATGAGATCATGACCTGAGCTGAAGTCAGACGCCCAACTGACTGAGCCACTCAAGCGTCCCTAAATAGACATTTTCCACATGTACTCAGGGCATGCCAAATGCTAGGGCAAAGAATCCAACTAATACCTTCTGAACTGTTGCTTGTCCATCATAACTTCATTACCTCCCCCATAAAGAGATTGACTGGCTTTTCGGCTCCTAGAAGTTAAATAATAAAACATGAACACACAATTACCTAAACATTTAAAATTGTGTATAAAATACGTATATATGTGTGTGTATGTGTATGTGAGTGTGTGTGTGTGTGTGTGAGAGAGAGAGAGAGAGAGTGTGTGTGTGTGTGTGTGTGTGTGTGTGTGTGTGTATTTGCAATGGAGAAAAAGTAGCCTTTAGTTTCAAAGAGCAGAAATTATCCTAGCTCCAGAATTTGGTCTTGGAGTAAGTGGATGTTTCTAAGACTGATTACTTGATGTGAGATTTGCATTGGGGGAGGCAGTAGAGATAGGTTGATAAGAGATTTCTTAGCGGTCAAATGATATAAAACATTGGTCAAATAATAGCTCCTATTCTGAGTTATCTCTCAGAAAATCAGCACAATAGAATATATTCACTTGTGAATTTATTTATGATTAGGGAAGTTCAAGCAAATCTACTAGTCATGAAATCAATACTTATTTTTGTTATATAATTGACTCAAAATGTTTGTAATGACTCCAAAGGAGCAGAAAACACTTTCCATGAAACAATCCATCCTGGAAAATTGAGAAAGAAAGTGGTTTTCATTTTTTTCTTTTTGTTATTGTTTTTGTTTTGTTTTGCTTAAAGATTTTAAAGAGATTTGCCAGAGAATTTTTCTAATAGTATGAAAATCTATGTTTCTTAATTTCCTTTAAAAAGTTTCTTGAAGTAATGCGTATTAATACTTATTGGGTGCTTTTACCCATACATTCTCTTCTCAGGTATATACAAAGGCCTGGGGGCAAAAACAGCTGACACAAATTGGCTTAATATTTCAAGATGAGAAACATTTCAGAGTTGATTTAGATATGACTTGAAACTCAACCTTTTCATGGAAAGTATGATTTTAAAGTAGTAACTTTAGTAGCATAAATTGCTCTACAATTTTATCCTTATTTGTAATTATTTTTTAGATACTTAGATTGAAATTTTAAATAATTTTATGGTTTTATTTTGTGTTTTTCTGAGTGGACCATGTGAAATAGCAGAAGTAATTTTCATTAAGATATCCTGTTTGTTTTAGGTTTCAGATTATCTTGAAGTAATCAAGGAACCAATGGATTTATCAACAGTAATAACTAAAATTGATAAGCATAATTACCTGACTGCTAAGGATTTTCTGAAAGATATTGACCTCATCTGTAGCAATGCTTTAGAGTACAATCCAGATAAGGACCCAGGAGGTAAGCATGCACTGGGCATGGTTCAATTTGGTGATCAATGAGAAGATATTTGAAAGTTTAAATACTAAAGCATGCCCATGTTTCGGATAGATAAATTGGTTTTAATGACATATTATTGTGTATAGAAACTTTTTTGAAGAGGAACTCATAATATGTTTAAATTAAATTAAATAATGGATTTAAATTAGAGGATTTTATTATTTTAGGTATTCTGTTCAGGGTTTAGTTTCTTCATTTACTTTTTACCTTTTGCACTTAGATTCTTGCTTTGCTCAGGTAGGGTGGAAAACTGGGTAAATGAGAATTTGATATAAAAAATTTTTTAAAGATCTGCTTAGATTTTTAAAGATATTTATTTAGATTCAAATTAGTTAACATACAGCATAGTATTGGTTTCAGAAGTAGAACCCAGTGATTCATCATTTACATAGAACACCCAGTGCTAATCCCAGCAAGTGCCCTCCTTAATGCCCCGTCACAACTAGCCCATCCCCCCACTCACTTCCCTCCAGCAACCCTCAATTTGTTCTCTGTATTTAAGAGTCTCTTATGGTTTGCCTCCCTCTCTGTTTTTATCTTAATTTTTCTTCCAAAGTTTATTTGTTTAGTCTACATTACCATTGATAAACACTGGGAATTCTAAATTGGTGCGAATTCATTATAGGATAAGTTTACATAGTAAAAGACCCCTTTAGGTAGACAGTATGTATTCTATAGATTGTGGATATTTTTAATGTAATTTTATTGTTTTGTTCCTAATCTACTCTATACTGAAGTCTGTAGTTTCAGCTCTTTGAGTGCCCTCCAGGGAGGATTGCCAGGAACATATCTGTAGTTAAACAAGATGAATTTACTGATTTGTTGTAACAAGGAAGAATATGTATCATGTAGAACCATGTAGGATTTGAGCTTGTGTTAAGGGTTTTGGAGAGGATTTAAATAGGACTTTGCCTAGATTGGATGCTCTTAGAAGCATCAATAGGGGGTAATTTTGTGATTAGGTATTTTTAGAATCTGCAAGACAAGAAGAATGGGAGAAGGCCAAAACTGTGATGGGTAAAGAAGCAGTGGTCACTGATAATCTCCAAGATAGGATTATACTTAGTTATTTTTGTGGCTAGGACCATGTTCATGCTTTTGTCTGTGTTCAGATATGATTATGGAGTGCTCTTGTTTTTATCTTCATGGTCACAGAGTGGCCTTTTCTGATGCTGTGTTCTGTAAAATTGTTTATGTTTGATTTGAGTACACCGAGGCCTAGCTGATAGTGCCAGTCCAATTTCCAGCTGACAGGGGCTGTTATTCTCTTTCTCACCTTACTGACAATTCTATTCTTCAACAGATGATACACATAAAAGATGTTTTTTATTTCTTACAAATGTATGTAAGTTTCAGTCATCTAAAGATATTTAGTATACAGTTTCTGCTTTGTTTCTGTATTTATGAACAGTAGTTTTTAGGCCACATATTAGAATGACCTGGATTTCTCATTTTCACATGAAATTAGGTATTTCTTACCTAAATTTAGAGCACAGTAAATCACACATCCTAATTCCAAGTTAAGAGGCAGAATGAAATTTTACATAGCTACACCTGGTATCTAACAGTTCTTAAGCTTTGTATTAGGACATTTGCCTCTTGCTAGTTTTTGTTTCTCTCGCCTCATTTTGACTTTTTATTATATATGTTGTATAGAAAGGTTTCTGAAGATTAAAAACAGATTATTAAAGTAACCTGTAAAAGTAACCTGTAATTCCATTATCTTGTGTTCTTTCTTTCTCTTACACAGATGTATTGTACATGTAATACATACATGCATAGTATCTACTAAAATGAGAACATAATTTTTATAAGCTTTGTCATTCATGTTGTATTTTGTGAAAAGCTTATGAGCTAATATATATTTTTTTTTTTTTTTTTTTTTTACAAATAGTTTATTGTCAAATTAGTTTCTACATAACACTCAGTGCTCATCCCCAAAGTGCCCTCCTCCATGCCCATCCCCCCCTCCCCCCCACATCCATCAGTCCTCAGTTTTTGTCAGCATTCAAGAGTCTCTCATGGTTTGCCTCTCTCCCTTTCCCCCACCATTTCCGCCCTTCTTCTCCCCCTTGTTCCTCCGTCAAGTTCCTCCTAATCCTCCTATACGGGAAACTAACAATAGAGCTAATATATTTTTAAGACATTATTTTAATTACATAGATGTACTGTGATAGCCAATACCCTTTTGATGGACATACTAGATTTTTAGTTTTTTACTCTATTATAACACTGATGAATATCTTTGTAGCATAAATTTTATGTACGTTCTTAACTATTTCATTAGAATGAATTTCTTAGTGAAATTTTTGAATCGAAGAATATATATCTTGTTTAAGCCTTTTAAACTGTATTGTTAAATTTTTCTCACAATTTTTTTCTCTTTTACCAGCAGCATCAGGGTCACTGTTAGCCAGTATAACAATTTTATATGAATGAGAGAATCTCATTCTTCTGTGTAGATGGCAGCCTGCAGCAGGATCACAGTTTGGGTGGTGAGCAATGGGCTGGATGTCAGCTTCATTTGATTTCCTTGCTGGGGCCCTTGGTGAGGGTCCAGTCTGCACAAGTGTCTATAGTGTCTATAGTGGCATTGAGAAAAGAACGAGAGTACTTGAGTGCCTACGCTATGGTTAGTTTTCAAGACAGAGAGGTTGCTGAAACGGTAGTAGGTAATAAGAGCTTGGGCTTTGGATTTATACCTAAGTGTTGGTCCCCATTTTGCGGTTTCCTAGTTCACTCCTAGTTCACAATTGAGTTGAGTCCTCTAAATTTTAGTATCCTTATCTGCAGAGTAGGGATAATTATGCTATTCTTCTCATTGGGATCGTTGTAAGGGTTAAATGAAAAAATGTATTAGGTTAAACCTTAAGAAACCATGATTTTCATATGGTTCAACCTAAATACGTTAAGCCCTTAGCATAGTGCCAGAGACATGGGAAGTGTTCCATAGAGGTTAGTAGTCGTATTTTTATTCTTGTTATCATCATTATTATTGAAATTCTGCTTTAATTTTTTTCATAATTGGTTGCATTAAGGGTACCATTTGCCACCTATTATATTCCCTGGAATACACTGAAAATTTAATCTATTTTGGAAAAAATTTAAAGACTGATAGTAAAAAATAAGTATTTGAATGGTTAGAAAAAGTCAGTTTAGAAGTTTAATCCAGATTTTTTCCCCTCATGTTATTACTTAATTATAAACACATTGAAATAATACTACCTTTAAGAAAGAAGCAATGGTTTCGGGTGCATAATAAGCTTTTCCTATCCAGTGCAGTTGTATAATCAAAGGATATGGCTCAGTGTCACAGAGTTGACATGGTACACTTGTAACTTTGTTTCTTCACTGTTTTAGATGCAAAAGGTGTGATATAATTTAAAAGCATCATTTTGGCTCTGTTCAGATTATTTCATATCTTTATGTTAAGAGGCCTGTTTTTTTTTCTTAGCAGCAGAACTACTTGTTATGTATTAGGAAAACAACCTTGGGGTCTGTTGTGTAGCAAGTGGAAATTACGTGAATGTTGTATTACTTTTACAAGCTCCCATGAGTATTTGAAAGCTTACAGTGTTCTGTTTTGCAGAACCTTTGGCCATTTGGGAAAACAAAAAACTAGGATATACATAGAAGACAAAAGCCAGTATTCTGAAGGCTATCGATGTTGCCTAAGTGTTTACCCAAATTCTCTCCCTTGAGGAGGATGTGGACAGAAATTGAATATGTTAGCCAGAAGAATTTCAACTTGTGGTGCTCAATGTAACTAGTATCAGATATTTGACCCTAATTATTACCTTACAGATATATGATATATATGTTTATTCCCCATTCTATGTCTTGTCTTGTGTCTCTTTTCTAGCCCTAAGTAACATTCACATATATTGTCATTTAGCTAATTTTGCTGAAATTTCAGCCCTAATCTTGAATCTTCTCAAAATCTTCCATTTTGTACCAGTTGCTTAGGAATAAAAGCTCACAGTTTCACTCTAGCTTTTGGATCCCTCTGTGGGCTCTGCTTTAGCCAAACTCATTCATATTCTCTATTAGTATTTATGAGTACCATGTACTAGTTACTGAGCTAGGTGCATAGAATACAAAGACAGCTGTGACAATCCTTGCCTCTTGTGGTAGAGACATACCACAAGATATACTCAGACATAATAAATGTTCAATAATTACTGTGTGGCAGATATATTATGCTCTGTGTTATGGTTTTAGTTTGCTGGAGCTTCCATAACAAAATGCTACAGGCTAGAGGTGGCTTAAAGAACAGAGATTAATTTTCTTAGAGTTCTAGAAGCTAGAAGTCCAAAATGAAAGTGTTAGCAGGTTTGGTCTCTCTTGACACTTCTCTCTTTGGCTTGCAGATGGCTACCTTCATTCTGTGTCCTCGTGAGGCCTTTTCTCTTATGTGCATGCACCCCTGGTATCTTTTGTCCAAATTTCCCCTTCTTATAAGGACACAGATCAGATTAGGACATATTCATACAACCTTATTTTATCTTAATTACCTCTTTAACGGTTCTACTTTATTTTATTTTTTAAGTTTATTTCTGTATTTTGAGAGAGGGAGAGGGTGAGAGAGAGAGCGAGTGAGCACAAGTGGGATAGGGGCTGTCAGTGCAGAGCCCAAAGTGTTAGTATGAGTTAACGTTTGGTGCACCCAGATAAAATGCAGACATAGAATAGTAGTTGTATATATGGTTCTAGAGGTTGGGAAACATTTGGGCAAGAAACATGGTTGGAGTCATCAGTGTATAGGAGTGGACGAGATCATGTAGGTAGTATATTTAATGAGAAGAGAGAGAAGTGTAGGAGATCCTCCTGTAGGAAATATAGATCTCAATCTCAATGTAGGTTCTTGTCTTACTGTTGGAATTTAGGGTACCTTTGTTGAAGTATTGCCCCTGCTGGGAGTGTGGACATCTTTTTATTCTTTTTTTAAAATTAGCATTATT